AAAGTGACTGATATACTGAAACATTGCTTAACTATTTAGAAAGTACACTCATTTTTTAGGCCTAAATGTATTTGATATTAACTTGTCAATATACTTTAGACAATTTATCTACAAATGCATAGAATGTGCTTTCACTGTAATGACATTAAACAAAGCAAAAAAAAATGTGATTTGGCTTTTCTAGACTTTATTCCTACTTTCTCTCTTTAATATTGTGTGGTTTCATTTAAGGTTACATTTTATTATATACTACTAATAAGTTTTTTTTTTGGATAATCAAAATTCTTACTTGATTAAAGAATCAATTCTTTAGTTTAATTATATTTAATAAAATTAACACTACTACTATTGTTTCTGATAATAAAGGATAACCTTGTACTTTAGATATTGTTTAACTTTTACTATTTGTTCATTGTTGTTACCAATTGTATGTTTAAATAACTTTTTTTTTTAAATCTGAGTCCAATTACAATTCATTTCAGCCTTAGAAATAAACTTACATTTTAACTTGATTATATTAATGTACTTTTATAAATTACCGATGCAACTAATTTAATATTGAACTTCATAATCGTGTTTTTTTTTCTAAAAAAAAATTGATATCAGTCTCCAGGCTTATTGTCTTGACCAGTTGGATAGATTTTTATGTTAAAATTTCATTTTAATATTATGAAGTTATTTCATTAGAGATTCTTGTGATTAAAATGAATTTGAAACTTATAATTTGGTTTATGCTATCATAATAACTTATGAATAAAAACTTATTGTAGTTTGCGTTTGATCTGACTAACTTTGTATATTTTCTGAAGCGAATCTATTGCTAAATCTGCCACTACTGACAAACTAATTTCAGGAGGCCTGATACGAGATTCCGTCAAACTTATTTTGGACATAAACAAGTAGCAGATTAAACGTATAACAAGCAGCAGAATTGTGTAGAAAATAAGACTAGAACAGACAAATCATAAATAGTTTACAAAGCTTAATAACCACAGAGCTCACCAGAGTGAGGCTACTACAGTATGCTAATGGTTACCCCAGTTTCTAAGCTCATTTATCGTCGTTATTTCTGGACTGAATTTTATTTACTCTACGGATGGTGTTACCTACTTTTCATAAATGCTTGTTTTGAAATGATTAAAAAAACAACCTTTTTTCGTATAACATCTATTCCGTCTTCACTGAACCTCTCCTTTCGAACATGAATCTTTCAAGTTTTACGACGAAGCGTTTGAATAGAATGATAACATCAATGATAATATCAACGGAGCAATATAATATGATTTAATAATTAGTTATAATTATCTGCTGAAATGTAAGTATAACCGATAAATAACTCCTACCTCTAACTTCGGAAATAAAAAAGAACACATTAATTTCACAAAGATGACTTATAGATGTATTTTCTGTTGATTCATGTTACTTAAGTGATTATTTTTTACTCTTTCCCACTAATCTGTAAGTACACTGTTGCTTTTTCTCCACAGCAGATAAAACTCCAATATTTTTTCACTCACATAGTGTATCAAAGGATGGTTGTCAATCACCTTTATCTGAAGTAAGTATCGAAATCCTCGTTACAATTTTAATCTATTAAACCCTTATTCAGCACTTTGTGAATCGTTCTCACCATCCGCAGTTGTTTTAAATTGAGATCACCATGTTCGATAAGATTTAATAGCAGTTTTTTTTAAAACGCCTAAGGTTTGTATAGTAGAAGTATTTATTCTTCATCGCTTTTCAAAATATAAACGTGCTTACTTGACCGACACACTAGTTGTATTTACCAAATGTTATATTCGACTAGGTTAGCTTTTGTCGGTGACATCCTAAACAATTATATGAGTTATGAAAAACTTTACACTGACTCTCCCATCCTCTACATCAGGAATGCGACAAGTTGTCGTTAGAAACATGTCTTCTTGGTATTTTACTTTGGCTATTTTTCATCATAATTAGATAGTGTTCGTACACCAACTTTTTCATGAAACCGTTATGCTACTTTGTGTGATAAATATCATAGTTCCTCATTCCCAAAAACCTCCAAGTTTCAAATAGAAACCAATTTTCACATGTTTTTTGCTTCTCACTGGTAAGTGGATGTTCTAGGATTGATACGCTTCAGGTTAAGTGGCAGTGTGTAAACCATTTCAAAAATGTGAAGCATCATATGCGTGTGGTCAAAAGTATGTCTCTACAAGTATGAGAAGTTTAGCTGAAACTTCCCACTTCGCAATCTATGATACAAGTACGATACTCGAGTTGCTATTTGGTCACGAGTATATTATACATCGTAAGTCATTCTACTAATTTGCCGAGAATGTATTGTTTTTAGTTAAACTAGTGAAGACTTGAGGTAATGACTGAAACTGCTAGGTGATAAGTACTCAGAGCAGGTACCAAGTTTTGTCAGGGAGTGAAAACGAGACAAATTTGTAAACTTGTACAGACTATAGCATATCAAACATCGTGAGCCATCATCTACCACGGTTTGTGGCGGGAATTGAGGTACAGGTGATATCCTTAATACATAGTAGTATTCTTCCAGTTACTATCAAATGTTAGTCAGAGTAATTCAAATCCTATGGCAATTATAGGAATGTAATTGGTAATTTCGTCTCAAATATTGGTCGTCTCGTATCTTTAAAGAACATGGTTATCAATTGTCTTCAACATTTTAATAGTTTTTTTGCCTATCCGAATAATATATTGTTTAGATGGTTAGGAAGACCATACATTGAAATCAACGGTTGGTTCTTATCTACAATAATGTCATACGTTGTGTGGGATCCGTCACTTACACGTTTTTATAGCATGATAAACCGCCTCGTATGTAAATTTTGTTCATCGCGTCAACTATATTGCATTGCAAAAATAAAACCGCAGTTAATGGACGCCATTGATGAAGTCTTTCATAACCACTATCAATGAATTTGATACCTGGAAACTAGCCGAATAGTCTGTTTTCATCTTTCATTTTAGTTGAGCTCATTTTCCGACCAACAAACGACAACCTCATATGATGAGTCCCTATTCAATATGTTGGCACATGAAGTTCGAAAAGCGCTCAAAATTGATTTGTTTGGGATAGATCTCATTTGTGCAACCGAAAATCCCATATCTGATGCTCTGTCGAAATCAAACAAATACGCTATTATCGACTTAAATATTTTTCCAAGTTAGTGAAATGTTTTTATATTAGCTATAGTGAGTCCATCTGGGTTAAGTATTAGAATATTTTGATGTATGTTTGATATTTTTTATTTTAGTAGAGATCTGACTGATGCGGATCAGAAACGGTACTTATATTTTGTTACCCAATGGAAACAACGAACAAAAAACTTGTGTGGGTCTTCCATCCGATGTGTTTTGCGCACGTCTGTAGAAACGTTTCGGCCATTATAGTTAAAGTAATCGGATAAATCAAACGTCACCCTTTTTAAAAATAATAAATATAATTAAACAGAAACTATCATCCTATTAACTCGCTTTTTGTTTAACTGATAATTAGCTCATATTTAACCCGTTTATATTTTGTACCATGTTTTAGGCTACAAGAATGTGCATGGGTTCTTATTTTATTTAGAGAATCTAATCAGGGAAAAACTCTCCTTGCCTTTACTTTCTAATGATAGTAACGATGTCCAGAAATAACACAAAGTAGTGATTTTTATTATTATCTCGAATACCTCGTAGCTGTTCGTAAAAATTGAAAATTACTTATTTTTATAAGACTTTTGTGAAACTATTTTGATTTGTTCTTAAAAAATGGTTTATATTGTTTTTCTTTTATTACTACGGTCAGATTTTTCTACTCTTATGCAATATACTTATCGTTTTCTTACACTTCCTTTAGCATTGTTTGATTGTACTACTGATCGGCAGTATGCATTATATTTATTTTAATCGCTACGAATAATATAAATTGGAACGAGTCCTTCAATTTCTTAGTATATCGTCTAGACTAGACTAAAAATATTGTAACTAACTGTCACCGAAATGTAATCGATCGTGAGATGTAAACATCATGCTCATAAACAAACTAGTCACAGCTATATTGAACTAAAGTGTTATAACGAACAAAGACAAGGTTTCATTTGTTTGGTTGAATTTACACACTGAAATGATTCAAAATAATTGCCTCGAGTGTAATCTGAACATCGATGAATCAATATACATTCTAACACGCGCACAATTACATCCCAGTTAAACTCGACAACTATTAGTAACAGTGGTGGGAGAAAAAACGGAGACCCAGTTTGTATTACCTCAAATTGTAGTCTTAAACGGTATGATTTTCCTCCACTAAAAAGTCATGTTACTTAACTTATTTGGTACGACATGTGCGAGTTAAAGAAGCTCCAAAGGCAATGCTCTGAAGACTACTGTCTCTAGCTAATATATAAATCATACGACTCAGTAACAGTACATAATCACATACCATGTTTTGACTCCCATATGCGTATCTACTGTGGTAAGTGGAAGTTTGTTCCTAGTTATACAAAGAAAAGTAAGGGTTTTAAAAGTCGTCTAAGAGAGTTGAAAGTAGTCGGAAAATAGGCAATATTTTTTATGTTGATAAAAGCCAAAATAAATATGTAACTGGAGTATTCAGTTGTTTCTTCTAACTTGCTTCATTCTGGCTTTATCATCTTATAACAAGTCTTTGCTAGCATCAAGAATGGTAACTGATACAGGGCAACCTTTTCAACAAAAAGGTAGCAGTATCTCATATACAGAAATAATTGAGCGTATTGTGTAGGTACAGTATCTTATTCTCACATTCAACGATTTGTAAACTACTTACTAATTCTAGTCGATGATATTGCTTCCCCTCATTAATATTATGTTAGTCATCTACAATGTAGGACCAGGCACGTATATGCATCGGTCCAAGTTGCCATACCGTTACTATGCAAAATAATGAAAACTCAATGATAAGAATAAACTACTTGACTAGAGATGATGGCCAAAGCCCAAACAAAGATTCTGACCCTATCGGGGATTTTATTAATTAGCACTGGATACAACATAGTTACATAAGTATTAACACGCTTGTTAGTGTTAAATCAGTATAATGAAGCTAAGTCATTTACATTCATCTGTTCATTTACTTTTTTGAAATTATATGCCAGTATTAAATAATGATAATGTTATACAAATAAAACATGCTGACTATAGTACTAAAATTACCACGTGTTCAGAAGAATAAGTGCAATAATATTTTTATTGAAAAATTTCTGCTTTTTGATTACAGGGATTTTATAAAGGAAGAGGTAATGCGTCAACAGCAGTGTAACACCTGTCATACAAATCACCATACTGTTCATCCCGTGTTATGAAAACAATAGGTATAGGGGTAACTGAAGATACACATGCACCGAGGTCAAACTTTGACGGAACATAGCAGTAAGGTATGTCGTGCTCCTCACACACCAATGGCACATGAGATATCAGATCAAACGGACTAATATCTCCAGCTAGTACGACGATACCAGAAACACCTTTCTTTTCAATGGCTTTTAAAATTGCTTTGATTCCGACATCTGTTTTCTTTACGCGTTTAGCTTTTCGAGCGAGTTTATACAAACGCTTTGTTAATTTTTTTGAAGCCATAGGCTGGGCGAACACACCTACACATTGTATTTGTTCCTCATAAGTACGTTCTGGACGGTTCTGATCGCCAGTCAGATCACTGTTAATCTCAATTTCCGTCATTGAAATATACAATGGTGTGTGACGGCAAGGCAAACAACTCAGTCTATAGAAAGAAAACTTTTGATGAACATTGGGTAGAAAATCACTTTTAAAAGAATACATATTCTTTACACTTTTCAGTTATTGCTAATCATAATTTACTAGTCATTGATAATCATTACTTGAACTATATTGCTCTTAAAAGTAAAAAAAGCTCCAAGCATTACCCATGTTCCTAGAACTTAACGTACCTTATTCAGTTATGTTAACGGTTCTGGACTTCGGAATGTCTATAGTGTTCCTAAAAATGTTACATAATCCATTCTTAGTCTCGTAATATATAATTTTCCTGCTTTATTTGTAATTTATTTAATCTCTGACTAACTGAAATTCCCTGGTCATGTCTTCGGATTAGTCACTAGCCTGACGCTGAAAATCTACATACAGGATGACCTTGATATTTCCCTGATTACCTAATTCCTTATTTAAACACAAACATTGGTGCAAGGAAGCACCGACAAGATATGCGCCACACTTGATCATTTGAGTTGTATGAGGGCTGTGGTACTTCCCGGACGCCCAAACCGAACCAGTTGATTTTCTTAGGGGACTACACCCAGAGCCTTCGACCTAAGGGTCTAACCCACAAGGCGGTGGAGCAACATTAGGAAATGCTGTCCCATAGTGGCTGGTAACCAACGATTGGTTCATACGCCATTTATTCCTTCAGGATCAGTCAGTCAGTATCAACGTAGAACTTCGTACGCACGTACATTAGTTCGAGTTGCCACACCACATTAGCACATATTATTTATTTGAACACATGAATATTGGTACAAGAGAGCGCCAATATATATGCACCACACAAAACAATGAGAATTCGAAGAGAAATAGAAAAAAAAGAACAATAACGAAGAGATTGGTGTTAGGTAGTGTGGTAGTAATGAGGGAACGGAAAGGTGCAATGGGAAAAATCTTTCAGGTAAGGGAGACACAACCACTTTTTATGAAGAAAGTAAAAGAAGGTTACAGCAGGATCGCCACTGGCTTCTATTCTGAGCCATATCTGATAACGTCTCTAGCCACTGTGTAGCACCATCTCTCAGACCCCAACCAGGGAGTCGTGAAGGACCGACAGAAGCCGGTCCTTTGCAGCTTTCTTTCATGCCACGACTCCATGTCATGCACTGACCACCTCTTCGCTTCTTCCAGCCAGTCCCAGAGTCGGCAAATAATGCAGGACGTGGAATTCTCTGGGACGACATTCGGAGAACATGTCCAAGCCACCGTAGTCGGTGTTTCAAGATGGTGACACCAATTGAATTATCATCTCTGTGCCCGAACACACGATGCCGAACCTCTGCATTACTGACATGGTGTTGCCACTGAATGTCAGTAATCCTTCGGAGACAGCGATGATCGAACACAGAGTCGTCTAACGTCCTCAACTTGGAGAGGCCAGGTTTCACAAGCATAGAGCAAAACTGCTCTCACTGACGCGTTGTAGCCAGACTAACATCACGAAGACGCCAAAGATGGCCCAGATTGACATAAGCCACTCTGAGTTTCACTATACGTGCGTTGATCTCATCACTCACACCCCCACCAGCACTTATGCAGCTACCTAGATACACGAACTTCTCGACTACGTCTATCTGCTTACCATCCAGGGTGAGTACAGGATTAGAATCCTGTCAGTCTTGTAGAGGTACTTTGCACTTCGAAGGTGCAAAGCACATACCATACCTACGGACACTGATTGCCAACTGATTAAGTGCGGATTGCATGCCTTGGGCATTATCGCACAGTAAGACAATATCGTCCGCATACTCAAGGTCGAGAAGTCTTTCTCCAGGCAACAGATCCACATTGCCATTACTTACAGCCATCAGAACTGTTTTCAGTATTTCGTTGAAGGCAAAGTTGAAGAGGAATGGTGAGATTGGGCAACCCTGTGTAACCCCACTGCTCGAATGGAACAATGGAGAAAGGTGGTTGTATGCCCTCACTTTGCCTGAGGTGTTTGTATATAGGCCTTTTAAGATGTTAATAAACTTTTCAGGCACACCCTTCTTCAGTAGAAAATCCAAGAGAACAGTCCTATCCAACGAATCGAAGGCAGCCCTGATGTCAAGAAACACTACGATTGTTGGCCTTTGATAAGTATGGCGGTGTTCTAACATTTGATGAAGAGTGAAAATATGATCAATAAACCCTCGACCAGAACGAAACCCAGCCTGCTCCTCGCGAGTCAATCTTTCTCGGGTTTTGAACAACCTACGAAGTATGACGGAAGCCAATAGCTTGGACGCAATCGGAAGTAGACTTATCCCCCGATAGTTGTTGCAGGAACGACGTAAACCCTGTTTAAAGATAGGGACAACTATCGACTCATTCCATGACGTTGGTACACTCTCTAGTTCCCAAACCTTTGTAAACAACGTCGTCAATTCCTTAGTCAAAAAGTCACCACCATCTTTAAAAAGAGCCGGAGGTAAGTCATCTGGGCCAGGTGATTTGTAACGCTTCAAGAGTTGGAGTTCCTTGCGGACTTCCTCCTCGTTTGGTGGATCAGTCGTCACCGGCCATGGAGGGCAGGACAGTCTAACCGATGTTGCCGGAGCAGCAGGCCAGTTGAACTGCCCTTCGAAAAATTCTGCCCATCGTCCAAGACGTCGATGTATGTTAGTGATTGGCATCCCATCATCCTCGTAGATTGTTTCGCTCACACCAGACTTTTTGCTGCCAGTGGCTCGAATGAAGGCAGCCAGTTTGAATGGCGCACGTGGTTTCAGAAAAACTGCTTCAGTACTCATATTCGGTGGTAACATACAATTTTCAACCGGACAGTGACTCGAAAACGTTTAGATACGGTCGAATTTCCACCAAAGACGAACCGCTGTATAAGTATAAAAGAGGGTGAATAATGTGGAAAATAATAATAATGACAATAATAGTGGTCAATTCAAATCCCGTAGTGGTAGAGGTAATAAAAGTATAAGCAGTAATCAGGAAAATCAGTGTTTGGAGATGTTATTTAAAGAGTATAATACAGTGAAATAAATTTGGGAAGAGAAAAAAAGGAGACAAGGACGAATAAGGATATCAAAATTTGGGAGAACACAAATAGTGCATGCACCTGCGCCATCGCAAACGATTTTGAGCCATGTCATTCAGGGTCTCTAACCATCGGTTGCTATCATCTCGCGGTCCCCAACCAGGTAGTCTACACCTACCGACATGACTCAGTCCACTTGTCAGTGACTTCGTGGACTTGTGCCATGTTTTGGTCTGGTTGCCCTTAGCTTTCTTTCAACCTACTCCTATACCACTAAACATCGCACGTCGAGGCAGTCGGTTGTAGGACATACGTAACACATGTCCCAGCCATCTCAACTGATGAAGTTTCACTACGTCATCAATTGATTTGCCATCCTTACCTAGTACCCGTTTCCTAACAACTGAGTTACTTAATCCGTGGTCCCAGGATATACGAGCAATATTTCGAAGACACCTATGATCAAATACTAGTAGTCTACGAATATCCTCTACTCTTACCGGCCATGTTTCACTGCCATAAAGTAGGACGGAACGAACTGCTGAGCAGTAAACACGTCCTTTGTTTGATAGACGGATATCTCGCCTACGCCATAAATGACGCAAGTTCGCAAAAGCTAGTCGAGCCTTCTGTATTCGTGCTAAGATTTCGTCACACACCAGACCACAAGGGCAGATGAGACTTCCGAGATAAGTGAAGCGGTCGACACACTCAATTACTTCACTACCTATCACTAGTTCAGGTGTCAATGCAACCCAATCCTGAAGCAACATTTTGCATTTCAAGAGGGAGAACCGCATCTCGAACATGCTTGCATTGTTGCTTAGAGTGGTCAGAAGACTCTGCATTTTGTCAGCGTCTTCACCAAATAAAACTATGCCATCACCATATTCTAAATCAACAGGTGAATTTCCTGGTAGAAGTTCAATCCCTGGAAATCTAGACGAGGAAAGTTTTATCTCTAAAAGTACGTCAATGACGAAGTTAAACAAGAATGGAGAGAGTGGATAGCCCTGACGAACACCACTTGAGGTGATCAATTCTGATGACAGTTCACCATAAGCTCTCACTCTACCAGTTGTGTTCGAGTAGAGAGCATGTATAAGGTTAATGTACTTGTTTGGTACTCCTTTCAATGACAAACACTGCCATAGAACCTTACGATCAACAGAGTCGAATGCCACCTTAAGGTCAAGAAATACTACCATTGTGGGGCGTCTGAACGTATGTCTGTATTCTAGAACCTGATGTAGTGTGATTATCTGACCTATACAACCACGTCCAGGTCGAAAACCAGCCTGATTTTCTATAGTCTGCTCTTCACGAGCTTTAGTTAGGCGTCAAAGTATTACTGAAGCTAATATTTTAGACACTATATTAGTCAAACTGATTCCTCTGTGATTGTCACAAGAGGACTTTTGTCCTTTCTTATAGACTGGCATAATCAGTGATTGAGACCAGTCAGATGGGATTACGTCCAGTTCCCAAATTCTAACTAAGACCTCGGTCAATCTCATTGCTAATACTGGACCACCATCCTTAAAAATCTCAGGAGTAAACCTGTCAGGGCCTGCTGCTCTCCCTCGTTTCAGATTTCCTATGGCTTTTTCAACGTAAAAATTTGGAGAACCTACATTAACTTGCCATTCAGGTTGACTAGAGATCGTGGGGAACCGAAGTGTGGCTGAAGGCCAGTTGAACTGATCCCTGAAGTGTTCTGTCCATCGATCAAATCTTCTGGATTGAGAATGTGTAACATGTCCATCTTTCTCTGAGAGTGTTTCGCTAACAGTCGGTTTCCTTAACAAGTCTGAACAATTGTCTGCTATTACCTATTGCCGCTGCCTTTTCCATCTTTCTTACTTTCGCTACCCACCACTTTACACTATTATTGCGTAGCCTTCTTGTCAGCTTGCCCTTAAGCTGACTCCGCTCTTCATTATGTTCAGAGCCAGATGGAATGAGTTTCCGAGCATATACTAGTGCGGTAGATGCTGCTGAGATCCAATGTCGCTCCCTAACCATATGGGTTACCGTACTAGCAGATATCACTGCTGTTTCCACAGCTTTTCGGATAACATTCCATGCTGCCTCGAAGTGGGCATCACATACATGGCTGCCTAACTGTTTTCCTAGTTGTTCCTGAAATATACTCTTAGCTTGACTATCATTAATTAGGGCCCTAAGAGGTTTCCTTGCGTCTTTCCTACGTCCAGTAAGATGCAGGCAGATACGCGCTCGTACTAGAGCATGTGCTCCAGAATGAGCGACAGTCTTCTATCGAGCCCCTCCATCGGTGGCTGATAGCGATGTGATCTATTTGGGTCCAACATTGGGACGAATTAGGGGGTCTCCATGTTAAAAGATGTTTTTCCTTATGCCTAAAGTTAGTATTTGCAAGAAAGAGGCGGTTATCTGAGCATAGCTGCAACAGACGTTCGCCATTTTCTGTTTTTTGAGCCATGACACTATAAGATCCACCCAGGTGTCTTTCCCTATCGTTTAGTTTACCTACTTGAGCATTAAAGTCACCGGCCACTATTACTACATCAGAGCTCCTAGCTTTTAGGAGGTCGGAGAGCTTTCTGTAAAACTCATCTTTTACATCATCTGCGCTGCAGTCAGTAGGAGAATAGGCAGAGACGACGAGTGTCCCTATCTTTTCGGATCCTTACTGTTCCATTCAGTCGGACAGCGCACAAACGACTGTCTACTGGTATCCACTCTAAAAGAGCTAGTTCTGCCCTAGGACTCAATGCTATACCTACGCCGGCGAGGCCACGGGAAGCAGAATCAGGGCTTCCAGATACACGAAGTGTGAATCGAGTCGGTTCTTTATTTTGGCATGGTGAGGTTAGATGAATGACGCTACTCGGATCCTGTATGCACGTTTCGGAGACGCAGCACACATCGATGGCGCGGGATTCTAAAGTCCTAGCTAAGGAAGCCTGTTGTCCTATTTGGCACAGTGTTCGGACGTTTAAAGCTCCTACGTGTAGTTTAGAGCGTGGTTTCAGGAGACCAGGAATAACGTCCCGCGTACTTGAATCGTTTGCCCTAGCGGTGCGAGATGATAAAGAGACGTGAGGAGGGTTAGTCATGTAGATAAGAGAGGTATTAGGGGGTGTAGGAAGGATTTGAATGTGACCAACTTGGTCTCGTGTGCTGTTACGGGTATGAGGGCTGATATCAATTCCCGGCTGCCCACACCGTGGAAGGGTATTTCTTGAGGAACCTGAAAAGGAAATTGGATTAGTGTTGGTCCTAACGACCTTGGAGCGTGACCGCAGAGCCCAAGGGACAACTGCTTGAGCCGGTCGCGCACGGCCTTTTCGTGGAAGGTTTGTAATGTGTTAGCTCCGTTCTTCAAAGGACCTTACTGCCGGAGACGGAAATCCGTGAGGTGTGACATTTTTAGGGTCGACCTTTTCTAACCCCACCCCTTCTTGTGGGAAGGCAGCATCGCTGCAGATGCTGGTTGTCCGAGGGAAACACCTTACTGCTGTCACACCCCTCTACAGTCAGCAGTACGACTTCGCCCTCAGACCTTGAGTTGCTGCTTTTAGCCTTACCGTTCTCCAATCGACCTGCCTGGCATGGTAGAACCTACAGGAACATATATTCCAGTCAATATAGCTCGGTTGGGTCATCACGATAGGCAAGCCCGACCACCGCGTCAAGGTAGCTTCTGACGGGTTCCTTCAGGATACTAGGGCCCATGTACACCAGTGGTTTGGAACCTGAGTTTTCCAACCCCTTAGATGGACCGTCTGCGTCCACCAACCCCGTTAAAGCGCCGGACATTCGCTTTTCGTTCTCTCACTTTTGTAAACAACACCCCTTCCATGAGAAGGCAGTGAGTGGAACTTCTCTGGGAGTGGCTGTATACGCGTGACCATGTGAGAGCATTTGGAGAGGGAAATCAGACTGTTGTTACCCTCGGTCGTACCAGAGCGTTTGGGGACACCCAGGACCTTGAGTCGCGTGCGAACGCCCAACCTTTAGACCAGTGAGCCGGCATTTCACAATGCTAATATCTAACTACAGTCAGCTGTCCAGTGCTCCCAGATTTTCAATGATGGTTTTAGATCGCTTCACGGTTCCAATGAAATTGAACAATTCCCACGCCCACACACTGACGATTTAGTTATTGACGACCTCTTTGTTTCGGTCTACTGATATTGATTATAGATTTAAATTGGCAGTTTTAAAATAAATCACAGCATTTATGTGAAGTTCATTTTTATTTTCGCTGCCGCTGCAAGCGGCATAATTATTTACTGTTTAATTTGTTCACCTGTATCCCTCCTGCTACTTGGCGAAATGTTTGCTGGCACAAAATAACATAACTTGCGTTGTATGTGACTTTGAATTTTTACCAAAGAACGTTATCATGCGGTAACTCTTTGTGTTACTTTTACGAAAAAGAGTGGGTAACGGTAGACGTGACACTTGACACTTTTAAACATTTGGTACAGATTTTAGCTAGGTAATTTGCATTTGCGAACACGACTTAGTTTCACAGTCGGTGACTACATGGTTTTGTCATCCCTGTTCTTCCTTTAATGTACTAACTTAGCCAAGGTGCAAAATCGAGATAAGCAGTGACTGGACATACAAAGTATATGTTCCAGGCAATTCAGTCGAATAAGACTGACATCTTAACTAACTGATTCCCCAACCTTGCCTAACGCTTTACGGCTAACCTTAAACTTACTAACTCGGTTATTCTACCTGATGCAAGCAATGGTTTAGAGACATTGATGACTTAATACTTGAAGTCAATGTCTTTCTGATACTGTGTTGAAAATAAGAATATTGACAATTTAAATGACAGTGACCCACTTTAAAAACTGAGATTCGGAAAAGACTGGCCGTTATTCCACCAAGTTCTGATATATATTTAACTTTTCACATGTATTTGGTATAAAATCCGTTTTATATTGTGGTTATCTAATTGTGCTTAGTAATTACTGGAAAAGAAATAAGTATAAATGGGATGCTACTTCTCTTTAAATGATATAGGTTTTTTCTAGTTGGGGGTTGAGTCGAGAATATTGAGATAATGTTAAAGAGTACCTAGATGCGTTCAATAATTGCTTCCATTATTTGTAAACAACTTTTGATTGCGTAATAACGATCAAATTATAAGTTTCACAACCATCAGTCATTTATAATCAATATGGATCCATAGATTAATATAGAAAAAAAATCCTGCGTCAACTGGCATACATCATCCACAAGTAGCGTGATTAAGTGCAAGTCAAAGGAAGTTGCTAATATTTTATCTTTACTGGAATCCAATCGGATCCCAGTATATTAATATGTATTGCTAATCAATGTTTATGAAGTAGTATTTTGTCAAAGTTCTGGCCCAACAGAACCATACCAACCTATCTAATAACAAATGATTCCACAGGAAGAACGTGACTAGTTCATGATACAATAAGCAATCGTAATAAAAAAGCGAAGCCGAAATTTTAATTTAATCAGGTGAACAGAAAAGTGAACATGCACAAATTACATTAACGAAGAAATCGTTTAATAAGTATGAACTGAATCGGAGGATTTTTTGTTCATTTTAATTTTCGTTACATGCAAACAGTTCATGGATATTTACTGATAGAGTTTAATACCCCAAGTTTTACTTGTCACGACTCGGCCTTTACTATAAGAGTAAGTTTTACTTAATAAGGACTTCTCGTTGCAATTTTCGTTTCCTACACCTGATAAACTTTAAATCGGAACCCACCTTAATGTCTACACGCTAGACAGTCAACTTTTGCGCTGAATAGGTCGGTTGTTCAAGGTCGACGTGATCATTTAAAACAAAGACTGGGAGGTGTTTTTTGGTTGAAATAAGTTTTATGGCATGAATACTCAGTTGATCAGTTATTAATCTAGCTCAACTGACATAATCATATATGGTAACCAATATCCGTAAGCAACGACGAACTTCAGCAACTTTAACATATAAATCTGCTGGTGTAAACCGATTCTGAAGTTACAGTCTGTAGTGTCATTTATCCTACTGACTACATCATTGATCAAATGGTTGCAATATGTTGTTTTGATATACTTGCCGAAAACTCTCCTTGATTGTAAGGCCAGCAACTAACGACAACATATATCGGAAGTTGATGCTGCAGGGCCATTGAAAATTCATGATGGATACTATCGCTGCTCTTGGTACCATTTCTCGAGACAAAATTGAAATGGGTCGATAAACAACCCGAGTTACATTTTAATTTGCCAGAAAAACTAAGATCGTGACATTTGGGCAGAAAACGTTAATGCTTTATTTGAGGCTCCGGAGGCGATTCCCTTGAGTTTTACCTGCAGCAGATTTAAACTTCACTATACTATGGATGGATTTTTTAGAGAGATATGAATTTCTAGTTGACATTCGAAAAAGATGCTTAACAGTGAAAGCAACTGTGATTTACACAAAGGTCACATGACATTTCTAAATTTGATACAAACTTCTCCAATAGCAGCATCAAAATTCCAGGATATACTTGCGGAATTTGCAAATTCAGCTAAACCGAACCCACAGCCTTCAAATGCAAACTAGAACTAAGTCATACAATCAAAACCGAAGACGCACTTGTATTCGCAAGACCATGTAGACTAGCACCAAACAAGCTTAAACTCGCTGGAGCTGAATTCGACCAAATGCTACTGTAGAATTATGGTCTACTGTGATATTAGTACGGCTCTAATAATAGACCTAATCCTATAATTCTAGATTTGTCGTGATACAAGTGCCTAATTTATAAAATTTTACATGGAAGACACACCATTGTCTACACCAACCAATATAAGGTTACATTAAGCAGGAACCACACACGCATAGCCAAGCCAACTCCAGTTAATTCAGTTCCTTGTTACCGCCTTTTCCATCGTTCGGTTTTTCTACGCGTTAAATATCGAATATCTGTTTTCCAAGTAGTCCCGTGTTCAGCTTTGAGGATTGTGTAGTTATGGTCCAGTGCCACTACATTGCAACTGGGTATTGTCCGCACCTATTATAGTCAATGGAAATCTCCTTTGCGAATTGTCCCAAAGAAAATTGGAGGGATTACAGATTCCTCATCCGTCAAAACGTACCAGATAGGTGTTGAATACCACACATCCAATATTTTACAAACGGTTTACAGTTTATGAATATATTAACTATAATTGCATAACGTAATATCTCAGTGGCTGAGGAAGGTATATCTAAGACACCTTTTGGACTGTTCGAGTTTGTACGCATGTCATTCGTCCTGAGGGACGTGGCACAAACATTCAAAAAATTCACGAATAACCTACTTCGAGATATGCCATTTGCACAGGGGTATATAGACAATTTGCTAATTACCAGTCACGATATACAATCAGACAAACAGCGTGTAAGAGCAGTTTTAAAACGGCCGGATGAAAATTAAATAAAGATAGATCAAAGTGTGTTTTCGGTGTTCGAACTCTAGAATTTATCGGGAACACAACGATCACAGAAGGGATTACACCAATCAAAGAAAAAGTGGACAATATCAGACATTATTCCATACCTAATTCTCCAACAAAAATCGGAAGTTTCCTACGTCCAATTGAATTCTATCGCATATTCATACACAGTCGTGCACAATTATTGCAACCTTTGACATTCACTAAAAGGAAAACCAAAAAAATTCAACCTTACTTCTTAGGCTGTTGAGGCTCTTAAACAACTAAAATATAAACTGGCCCAAGCATATTCGTTGATATATTAAATTCCCTTTCCCCATTTCCTTAAATAGTAGATTTTTCGGACTAAGCAGTGGGCAGTAACCTTAACCTAGTTGTAATAAATGCCTAAAAACTAATTGCTTTCTTCCTTAAAAGACACTCTAGCAGAATGGGGATATTCTTTCTCCGAAAGATAACGATTAAGCATTCCCGACACGTGCTGGAAGGCAGAGGCTTCATAGTTTTTACGGGTCACAAACCACTGACCAATGCACTAAAAGTGAGAGCTGATAAATACTCACCGCCAGAAGTTTGACACCTTGACTATGTATCACAGTTCAAATACCTATAAGCTCCTACCAAAAGTTAATGGGCCCAAACATATGAGGAGCTACGATTCCAATATACCAGCGTGACATTGTTTTTAAAGCAGGATAACAGCCGATAAACTACAAAAGACGTATAATTCTTATAACATGACGGTTCGTTACAGGTTGGCTGAGACGAATTCGCAGTCGATGTTTCGTCCCGCGCGATGATTTTCATTAGGTTAGAATCCCAGCAGGTACCATCAACCAGATGCTTTATGCACCTTTTTGGGCCGTTCTCGTCATTACATAGTCATAAAGTAAGTAACTGATAATACGTGGCGGTGATTACTGCACGACTTCAGATAAGAATTACATAGAAGGGGATCGAAAACATAAGAAAACGTAAACACAAAACGAGTCATGGGGTATGTGAATTAGGTATGTTCAAACGTTTCTACACGGGTTGATATATGAGTTACCAATCATTAATAAATTTATCCTTTGTTCGAGCCTCATAAATAGTTTATGGTTCTATGGTAATTTATCCACACCATCAGATTGTTCTATACATTGTTTAAGTAATTTATTATTATTATTAATGGCTTGAATATTATATTTTGGTACAATATAAAATTCTCAGCACAGGGTATTTCAACAAGTTACTTACGCAAAAAAACCGTAACAAATAAAAAAATTAAAAAAGCAACCGAAAAACTGTACAACTTTTCAAATTAAAGACATGTTAAGAATGCAGGTTATTGACTAGGTTAACTCTAACAACCTGTTCGTCACAGAGTATATTTGCTAGATAAGGTATTATAGAACTTTTATACTTTTGCTTGCGTGCATGAATTTTAATGTAATTACGTCTCGTTCTACCAAAAGCTATACACGGAGAAAGATAAGAGTGAACGGGATGGTTAGTATGTGATAAGATAACACCTGCCAGGAGTTTGCATGATTTTAAATGTCTATCCACAACCATACTAATTATGACCTTGAAACATTCACCACACATCTTGCTAACTGCCTTCAGCACTCTCCGCAATACAGCAAAGTCTTTTCTCAAAAGCTTGGAAAAGAATAATGGAGAACAGTAAAGAATAATAGGCCATATGCAAGAATTGACAAATTGTAAGAGTAAATGATGAGTAATCCCAAGAGCATGCAATCTCTTTATGTAGTAAGTCTGACGGAAAACCTTCATTGATGACAATAAAACATGAGAAGACCAAGGGAGATCAGAGGAAAAAGTGACACCAAGATAATTGACCTTCGACACTGAGTTTATCAAAGAGTCTCCGATGGTACAAGCATTATGGGATTTTAATATGGTGTTTGGGTTCCGTTCATGTGTCATGCTGAAGTTAACAGCCTGAAATTTTGACGGATTAAGTATGAGACCATTACCAACAGACCAACAATCAATACGAGACAAAAACTCATTCATTACTATGGGATGTAAAGAGGAAGAGATAGGCACACATACAGTGAGATCATCCGCATATTTCACAAAAGTGTTTTCTGTGGAAGATGGCAGGTCATGCAGAAAAAAAGAGAATAGGAGAGGTGAAAGAACAGCTCCTTGTGGTACACCTTCATGAGACAGTAGAGACTCTGAACACTTTCCTCCAAACACAGTGTACTGTTCCCTTCCAGAGAGGTAGAAATATAGCCAGTTGGTTATCCAGCTGTCAGTGTTGACGTTGACTAACTTGTTAATTAAACGTTGTCTTGGTATATAATCAAAAACTGAAGTATAGTCCAGAAAAGCACATCGAACATACTTCTTACCCTTTTCTATGTTGAACATTATGTTGTGATGCAACACAGCAACAGCATCTAAAGTGTTTCTTTTGTGTCTGTAAGCAAACTGATATGGATCAATATGATTTTTTGTCGCAGGCTGAAATTGAAGTATTATTAATTTTGCCATGGTTTTGAGGAAGGGTGAAGTTATTGCAATAGGTCTAAATCTTACATTCTTATTACCAGATGCTTTCTTGGGTACTGGAATTATCTTCATCTTTCTCCAAATTTTCGGTATGAGATTAGATGAGAAGTATTTGTTAAAGATAGTTGTAAACGGATGACATAGGACGTCAGCACACCTATTAAAAAGGATGTTTTGGATACCGTCAGGTCCCAAACATCGAGATGAATTCGGCGACTGGAGACATCTTCGTACATCAGTTTCAGTAGAAGTATGAACACAGTTATTATTTTAACCCGTGGATAGAGGGAGCGTTACATTAGATGAATGACGTACAAAAGACTTACTTAAGTCACAAACATTCAGTTGATTATCGCTTCTAAACTGTCTGTCACCTGTAAGTTCTTTAAAGAGTTTCCACACACTTGGAGAGTTTTTGAGTAAACATACAGTTGAGACGTCTAATCTCTAGGTTTATCAGACCATCTAGCTTACGAACTTCATTAGTGTTCTTCTGCTTGTACATTCTTTCTTTCATCCTCCGTAGTCGTTTTAGTTGTAAAGATGTAAGTCGATCAAAACTTACAAAAATGGTTTCAATGGGACAACAAATATCAAAACAGAATTTAAGGTATCAAGTGATAACATCAGTAGTGATTTCCAGTGAGTCATCTGTAAATAATTCCCAGTTAGTCGTATGAAACATGTTTTTCAGATTTCGGATGTTTCCTTCTGAGTAATTTCTATATTTGACTTTCTTGGTTTGATGTAAGAGTGTACTCTTCCCATGCTTTCCATATATTTTGGTAGAACATGAATTATACAGTGATCCGAGCTAGACAATGGAGCACGTTTACGAGTCTCATATATACCCACATCATTCATGAAGACGAAGTCTAAATGAGCATCCAAACGGGTAGGAAAATCTACTACATTTTGGTGACCTAGTGTCTATCAATTTTCTCAGGCTACATTTTTACCCCCTCACTTATTAGCTAATTAATCATGAATTTTCCATATGACCGTATTTGTACTAATCACTTATCTTACTCATCACCTGTCTGTAGCCTATTTTTATAGGACTATAGATATTGACTCACGCATGGCCAATCTGAGCTAGCTATCATGTCTTTTGCAATCTGTTTCGCCTCCTTCGCTCCGTTTCTCTGATTGTCTGTCCAAATTAACGATTGTATGAAATATACTCACTCAAAGTTCATTCTCGTATTTGACTTATTTTATTCCGTTATTCACTAACGCGAGTTAAGTCGATGATTATGTACGAGTATAGCCAGGATGTATATTTCGACAGAAATCATTTGATACCAATCAGAAGCGATCTACCTGGGTCAGATTAATGGCAACAAAACGCTCTTTCTTCCTTTGCTGCAACCAAATAAGAATAAAGCATAACGTACTCAAAGACGACTTCCTAAATCACTTCGGCGACCGAAGTGCAACCTTTATGATATACTCACTTGGACATTGCGCATTTGCTCTCCTGTGTATATACAACTGGAACGTAACATTTGAATGGCGTTGCGGAATATTGCCGACTGTTCATATACTTTACATATCAATTCGATCTAACTTCTGTTATTATTGAAATTTCCAACGGTATAAGGTTCACAGAATCGGAAGCTAAGTTGTACAAACTGTTTATAACAAACGTAGCCGAAAACAAACGACCAGCAAGCGTGAAATCAGGTGAAAAAATAACTTTTTGAATATATTAATGTAATCTAGATACAAACATCTAATAGCATCGGAGTCATCGACGTCTCAAGCAATTAACACTTAGACTCGTTGAGACGTGAAGACATGTGTGAAAAGATATAGATAAATCATCGCTGAAAAAACTAGCTTTTGATTTCATCCGAACAAGTAGGGTAGGTGGTCTACCAAATTAAAATAGCTTTATGTGGAGATGAGCATTCCAAAGTGATCTACACACTAGGATATCCACTTGTGTTCAATTCCAATTGACCCTCTGAAAGCGACACATGTAGGTTAGAAAACTAGAAAAAATAGTTGAACCATAGTAATCCCTTCTATTCTTTGCAAGTGAGCGAGTCTTGGAACTAGTTACCTGCTAAATTGGTCATAGCAACTTCCTAGGAGTCCTTTGTAATAAGCTTCTAAATAGCGCTCCGCCCTAATTTACCTGTACTTCTCTAATTTATTTTCGTTTCCTGTTCTTTGGCCTATACTCAGATGGTCAGTATAAGGTTGTGGAGACTATCAAGCTTTTGATTTAGATCAGGAACCGATTGATGTTAGACCACCACTGAAGACGTGGAAGCACTGGACGGCCATTTCGTCTTGTTGTGGGACTCCTCAGCAGCGCATCCACGGTTCCTCTCGCGGGATTCGAACCCTAGGCCTTCAGTCTCGCGCGCGAATGCCTAACCCCTGGGCTACTCAGTTGGCATCAAACGGTGTTAATGTCTAACCCCAACCTATTCACAAGATTGCGCGATCATCTTGTATCGTACTGAGGTAGATACTAGTCTCTCCCCGACGCGAATTAGCTTTAATGTCACGGCCTCTCACTAAAACTCCGAAAATTCCCTCACGGGTCTCACAATAGGAAAAAACTGCTGTCCAGTGCTTCTAGGTTTTTAATGGTGATCTAATGTACACAGACAGACCGATGACTCGTTGCTACTGGAGACGCAGTCTGATTGGACAGAAAACCATAAACCGAATCATCTATAAAGGGTGGAAAAAACTGAGCTAAAGGTTTTTTTGAATGTTTGTTTAGTTTTGTAGCATGAAGTAGTATATCTAACAGCGGGAAGGACGTTCTATTATGGCGGGCTAGATGAGATGCTAGCTCTTAGCTTTTTGTATGATTAGTCTGTAGAAGTAAGTGTAGAAACAATTTTATATAAGATCAACCAATTAAGTGACATAATACACCTAAAAGCACTCCAGATGGAGGTGGATACTGGCTCTATAGCCAAATGTGCACCGGAACTGTATGACATCGCTTCCACATTAGTTAATGTCGAGGAAGTCACAGATAACAAAGCATTCAATGATTTTAAACTATCAAAGCCAATTATCGATATGGTCAGTCCAGTTACCGAAGCAGTAGTTTCTGATCCAGACCCTAAGTCTCCCCAAAACCGTGATAATACGACTGCAGAACCTTCAGTTGCCCCTGTTGTTGTAAATAACAATGTTGGAAAGTATCGTCTCTTACGTACTATAGGAAAAGGAAATTTCGCAAAAGTCAAACTTGCTATTCATATGGCCACTGGTGTGGAAGTAAGGTCTGATACAGTTTCAACATTTCCAGGTTGCCATAAAAATAATTAATAAGACTGTCATGGATAATACTCTCCTCAAACGCGTAAGTAAAGATTTATTCTCAATTTTTTCCAATCAGCTTAAACGTGAGATAACTATCATGAAAGTTACAAATCACCCAAACATTGGTAAGTCTTAATCAACCACCTAAATTTGTAGTCAAACTACTTGAGATAATTGAAAATGAAGATGTTCTCTGTCTTGTTATGGAATATGCTAGTGGAGGTACTGGTTATATTCAATAAATTGATACCACAGGTGAAATATTTGATTATCTTGTCGCGAATGGAAAGATGTGTGAAAAGAAAGCACGTGTAAAGTTCAGACAGTTACTTTCTGCCATGCAGTATTGTCATGCAAAACGAATTGTCCATCGAGACCTGAAAGCAGAGAACATCCTGCTCGACCAGAACTTAAACGTTAAGGTTGCTGATTTCGGCTTGGCCAACACCTTCGAATCTGATCAAAGGTTGACTACTTTTTGTGGTAGTCCTCCATACGCTGCTCCAGAACTGTTTTTGGTAAGCAGTTATAAATTCCAATGTATAGTTCGCGATCTTACAATATATCACTTCATGCTCTCAGTTGTATGGCTATTTCTCTTTTTATTCGTTTTTAAAGAAAAAACTAAATTCATGATTTCGTATTTAATTGAGTCGCATATCTGTCTTGAGGCCTCACTGAACAGTTAAAGAGTAAACGACTTAAACAGACAAAATATGTTTTATTTCTGCTGATTTTTTTAGAACGCTACTTTGATGATGAAAGTAGACTATAGAAGCATCCATACACAAAGTATAATATATCATGGTAGCAAACGGCATCACTTTTAGGGAAATGATTGCATTAAAAATAACAGTTATTATGATGTTGGAATTTGTGATAAATCCGCCTGAGTCGATTGTATATTGGTCCTAATTGAGTGTAAAAATAGTTTATAAATTGTTGCTACACTAAAAGTATCTGAATAAATCACAGTGACTGCAATAAAATGTCCTTTATATTTATTTATTTGAACACAAATATTGGTACAAATGGGCACCGAGTAGGACTTCGCTGGCAGTGGCTGTATACGCGTAATCATTTTAAGTTTGTAAATAAATGCAATTTACCTTTTAAAATGGATATTTTACTATCAGTCGTCATTAAAGACACCCCAAAGATCCTTATTTTCCCACTTAACCAATACTAATGCATGATCAACGTATTGTGCAGCAAAGGTCATCATCAAAAAAAGAACAAGGTGCGTGCTTCATTCAAAACCTAAAAGACATGAAAACGACTGTGTCACATCCCACTGTGTTTACCAATTTAAATATGTGTGTGGTCACACATACATAGGGAGGAGCAATCGTGATCTCAACATTAGGGTGAGTGAACATGTACCCAAATGGCTGCAAAAACAAATACAATCAGGTGACCCAGTAAGAGCAGAGGATAAACATCCATCATCCTCTATTGTTAAACATATAATTGAAACAGGTCACAAGATTGATCTAAACTCAGCTTTTGTGGTATTGTATAAAGGTGTAAAAGGGCGTATACTAAGGTTTATTGAAGCCTTAGCCATACGAAAATTCAAACCCCCTTTGTGTGCTCAAAAACAGTTTGTTCTTACCTTAAACCTACCCTGGTAATATTGACTTATTATCCAGAGTGATTAGGTTACGAATTATGTTCACATTATTATTATTACTCTTATCATTATTCTTATCTCCTCTTACCCCGTTTCCTGTCGAGTTGACCTTTTATTTTTATATATAAATGCTCTTAACAAGTATATGTGTGATCAGATTGTTCGAAATGTATTGCGCTAACATATCAAATAGTTCTGATAATCTTCGTCTTCTAATTATATTATTGAAATGAATAAACTCATTTTATATCAACTTTTGTTCGCGTATCATTTTATTTCCATGTCGTTTTCACTCCCTCCTTCTCTATTTATTATCCCAGTTTACTTCCATCTGATTGGTCACAATCACTTATCGTCCCAATAAATATATAAGAGAGGGTTAAAATCATCCTGTGACAACCATAGAGGGATTAGTTTAGCTAATTTAGTATCTAAAATACTAGTTTTGATAATTATCGGACGCCTAACTAAGGCTCGTGAACTGCAAACACGAGAGAATCAAGCTGGCTTCAGACCTGGTGATGGCTGCATCGACCACATATTCACCATTCGTCAGGTTTTAGAACGTAGGCATACTTATCGGCGTCCGAAAATGGTGGACGAGTATACTGCGCGGCAGTTCGTTCCTTTCTACTTTACGGCTGCGAAACATGGCCATTAAGAGTAGAAGATACTCGTAAGCTACAAGAGTCTGACCACAGATGCCTTAGAAATATTGCTGGGATCACCGGGTAAGTAATAGTGAGGTTAAGCGCAGGGTATTAGGTAATGATGGTAAATCAGTTGATGATGTTGTGAATTTCCATCGACTGAGATGGTTGGACCACGTGTTACGTGTGCCTGAACACCGATTACCACGACGTGCAATGCTAACCGGTGTTGGGGATGGTTGAAAGAAAGTTAGGGGCGGCCAAAACAAAAAGTGGCATCAGTCCTTGAAGTCGTTAAGTTCTGATCTGAGCCATATTGGTAGATGCAAATTACTTGGTTGGGGTCCGCGTGACTATCATAACCAATGGTTGGAGACTCGTGGAGACATGGCTCAGAACCGATCACAATGGCGTCGGTGTATACACTTTCTGTCTTCCCTTAAACTAAGAGATTAAAATCGCTTCATATCTTTCTTTCCGTACTATGTCCTTATATGCAATCTTTTATATATTACCAACACTGAATTAACTAATCTTATGAATCCGGTGTTCATCTTGTGCTAATGAGGTATGGCAACTTGGACTGATGCATATATGTGCCTCGTCCTACGTTGTAGCTGATTGATTGATTGATCCCAGTTTACTGTTTTATCGAAGGTTCTACGTTTTATAAATATTCTGAAGTCACTAAGTGCTGACTTCTCAAAGATTGTCACGTAATGCAACAACAGATTAGGCCATCCTAGGATCTTGCTTTGGTTAACAGTCTATTTCGTTTTACGTTTTCACTTTAATGCAAACCAGTCAACCTTATTGGGACGCTAAGATATATCTGTGATGTGTCAGTGACATGTATACAAGATTCCAAATCCTGCCACTTAAATTACTATTGACATTTGAAAATAGCTTTGAAGGAAGTTAGTCTTGGGAACATGACTCCAATACACTAAAAGGCGTTTTTACTCTACCTGGAATAATTCATTTTATCGCTGAAGCTACTCAAATCGCATTTGGTCAGTCGGTGATCGGAGTTCGTCAGTACACTATATTTCCCGTCGACGTGTTTTCTTCTTAGTTGCACGTGAGATATATTTTAGTAACATTTGCACTAGGATGCTTTTGCTAACCTAAAAAAGGATGTTGTTTTTCGATTCTCTATTGTATGATTGTTTTATTTTCATTTGTGTTACTTTTACAGGGGATTCCGTATTATGGGCCTAGTGTAGATATTTGGTCTCTTGGTGTGATTCTGTTTACTTTGGTTTTGGGACATCTGCCGTTTGATGCACGTGATCTTCGTGAACTTCGGAGCAAAATCTTGGGATTGCACTACACTATACCTCGTGGTGCTGTTTCTCCAGAATGCGACACACTGTTAAGAAAAATGTTAGTTCTTGACCCTAAAGATCGTTCGTCTTTAAAGGTAGGCCTTCAGTTCTTTTATATTTATTGATTATCATATTTAATGTAACTTAAGTTCATAAACTATGAATTGGATGCTAACAAAGGATGGAAAGAAATAAGTTGGTTTCACGTCAATCTCAGATATGTTTATCATTGGTTTATTGGAATAGTTCGAAGGTAATATTCCAAAACATTTTCGAGTGTTTAAGTATTCTAATATAATTATGTTGGCCTAACTTCCAAAGTTGTGTTATGGATCAATCATTTTCAGTACGACTCATTAATCAAGCTTGTATTCACGTAATCGATTATAAGCCACGCTTTATGCATGGGTTAGTGATCAGAATAAGCATATGCTTGTAAAGTAACTGTTCTTTTGGTATAACCTGTGTAGTGGTGAGTTTACTTTATGCCCATGACCGAAGAGACAGTCGTGATCGGTACTTAGAAATAAAATGTTTTAGTCCAACGACATTCTCAGTGGTTCAGTTGTATATGTATGTTGTTTCAGTCGGAATGTTAGACACCCTATTATCCTACGTATATTATGCCCTGTTTCCGTTTGTTTTCTCTATTCTTTTATTTAACTGTTGTTAGGATAATTTTGTTTTTCCTTTTGTTGATCATCCTTTAATGTACAAATGTGAATTATTGCAACAGACCGACACACCTTTACGCCAAATCTACCATGTATTTCTTCTGTCCAGGTTTGGTTTGAATTTAGTTCTTGTTATTATCAACTATTAAACCGGAAACGACGTATAGTCAGTTAACCAGTTTATTCTTAGTTTTGTTTGTTGCTGCTTATGTGAATTTTAAAGTTATTGCATGTCAGTAGAACTGAATGAGTTTTATAGAAAATAGCTAGCGTTTCGTGGATCTGTGGCTTGATATTTAAAGCATTCAACTTTTTAACTCTTCTCTATCTACCTCAGTTTGATCATCCGCGTAGTATCACCAGCTGTCACGTAAAATCTATGATTCATAGTTGTGTACATCGATCTGCACCTGGTTACTAAGTTACATTAAAGATAATGCTTCCTACTATTTTTTCATTGCGTCGTAAAATTTTAATTTTAGTTGTCATTTTTCCGTTTCATCTACCGAAAGCTATCTACTGCTTGAGCTGTATTTAAGTTAACTGTTTCCCAACTTTTGGAATTAGATATTTTTGCTTTTACATACTCTTTTAATAGGGAATTTGTAATTGCGAGTTAGTTATCTGATCGATCAACGTTTATCACCTGATTTACAGATTTCAATCCATTTTGTCTACTTCAGTTTGAGCATTTGAGTTTCATTGGTAATCCCTGTACATTAGACCTGCAAATTAAATTTCAGACACCAACTTGAATTACTTGTTTTTATTTGATACGTTATAAGGTGAATATTTTCCTGGGAACTTAAAAAAAACATCTAGAAATTGGTGTAATGTTTTGTGAGATTATTTCGGACTTCATAAATCATTAGAATTTGGCTTTCCTGAATGAATTCTTATTAACAAACGGAGTCATTTGCCGAAGTTGATAATAGAACTTTGTATCGCTCACTTTGCCAGAGAATTTCGTCATTGTATTTATAACTTAATAAAATGATGTTATGTGATATATAAAAAGGTTTAGGAAAAGACTTAACCAGTTGCTTTCATTTCCAAAATTTTAAATTTCTGGCCTTGTTAGGTTTCCGATTAAATACCTGTTTCTTAAATCATCCTACTTTCTTTTTATTTTTGTGTATAGGACTCATAGCAAGTATGTAAGTGAGTACTGTATAAACTGCCTAAATTCTGTAAAACTAATTTAACCTTTTTAAAACTCTTTTCAAGTCTTTGATGCTTGACAAGTGGGTAAATATGGGCTACGCTCCAGATGATCATCTTCGTCCCTATAGAGAACTACCGAAATCCCAACTGGATGATAGTCGTGTGAAAGCCATGGAAGAAATGGGGTTTACAAGAGCTGATCTGGAGTCATCGGTAGTTAATCCTGCATTCGACCATGTGTATGCAACTTACCACTTATTGCCCGAAACCCCATCTCAGTTTGTTGAGTAAGTGTTTAAAAGATCCATAAAAAAGTTACCTGAGGTAGTACATTTTATTTTATATTGAAATCTCTACTAATCTGGATGACCATAGGCCTTAGGGTATCAGCCCACTAAATTCAATTTAGAAGTTTGGGAAACTACGTTGTTACTGACTGACTGATTGAGTATGAATAACAATAGCAAATAATAGTTGTGATGTTGGACAGCGTTCTTCATCACGAACCAACATCATTTGGAGATTAATTGAAAAACGAGTAAGCACTGGGGAGCCATTTGGTCATAGTTTGATATTTAGCAATACACATTCACGATCATACACAGAACCAAACTTAGCCTCTTTCAGTCTCGCGACGACCATGTTACTGTCCAAGCACTGAGTGCTATTGGTGGACATTTGTTTTACTACTGACCTAGTTAACGTAACAGGTCACGACTTTCCTATAGAACCTCAGGTTCTTTATCTCGATACAAGTCACTGATGCTCACTAGAACTCTGATTTCATTCTATAATAATAAAAACACGGCCGTTTCTCATGTATTTGGTTTTGATTTCTAATCATCCTGACTTTATCTTCCTATATTTCTGATAAGGAGCTCGATTCTGTTCACTGAATGTATTGTGTATTTTTATATTGTTCGGTTCTTTTACTCAACTAGCATCTGTGCTAGGCCTCATGTCTATGATGTCTGTCTGTCAGTTCTGTTACCAGAGTTTTACATTTGGATATGCGAAAATAAAAGGGCTATGTTAGCAATGTTTGCTACCAGTTAGTTACAATAGAGCCTATGACCTGATAATCTACTTACTGATTTATAAGTTGTACGTCATGAAGTCAGTTCTTACTACTTAAAAATTCATCCAACTGGGTGTTATCCTCAAAAACAAATGCAGCAACCTCATGTCTAACTCTGTATAGATCCTGGTTTATCATACATTTACATATAAGTAATGTAGAAAGTACGAATCTATTTATTGTTTAATCATATATCGGCAACAGAAAACACTAATTAGATTTCTATACTATGGTAACTAACATATTTGTCCCAGGTATGCCAAAAATTGGACTGAGAATTTTATCGAAAGACATATTCGTGTCGATAACTTTATGGAAGTTCATAGCTTGTTAGGCGTTAGACTGAACTAAACAGCTTTTACATTTGTTCATCTCTATAATCTGACTGTCAAGTTAAGTATGCCTGTCTCGGTGTTGTAGACTGTTTTCGGTTATAATATGCAAACATTTGGACTGAGATAAGTTGAAACGGTCTGACTACTTTTATGCCACGTAAACTCTGTCAGTGTTCTTAATTTAATCCTTTCTGTTTTACTATTTACAAAAAATTCGTAATTGGATAACCTAGAAGCTTTTTTCATATTTGTAGACCTTAAAAAGAGATGTAGGTACACATGTTGCTAGCTATGTCAATACTCAGATATCCAAGGGAGCTAAGTATAAATTATTTAAAGTTTATTTATTTAAACAGATATTGGTACAAGGGGGGGCATAAATACATGTGCACCACACAATAACAATGAGGTCAATAGTAGTTATCAGTGGTTTGTGTGAGGGCTGTGATACTGCGGACGCCCAAACCGGACCAGTTGGTTTTCTTAGGGGACTACACCTAGAACCTTTGACCTAAAGGTCTAACCCACAAGGCGGTGGAGCAACGTTAGGAAATGCTGTCCCATGGTAGCCGGTGATCAATAATTGGTTTATACGCCATTTGTTCCTTCAGGATACTGGAGCCCATGTACACCAGTGGTTTGGAACCTGAGTTTTCCAACCCCTTAGATGGACCGTCTGCGTCCACCAACCCCGTTAAAGCGCCGGACATTCGCTTTTCGTTCTCTCACTTTTGTAAACAACACCCCTTCCATGAGAAGGCAATGAGTTGGACTTCTCTGGGAGTGGCTGTATACGCGTGACCATGTGAGTGCATTTGGAGAAGGAAAGCAGACTGTTCTTACCCTCGGTCGTGCCTGAGCATTTAAAAGCAATTTTAAGAGCTAGTCATATGCCCGCACTAGTTTGAGTTTTATAGTCGGCTTACGATACCAGTTAGTTAACAGTCATATATTTTCATTACTCTCGATTTTATGTAGATTTCTCATTCAATTGTATAGAGAATCAAGATTGATGAAAACTAACAAATTTTGTTGGATGTCAAAAACTAATATACTTGACCTCAACAAATGTACAAAAGCTTAGTGAGATCATGTAGCGTGCGATAGATAATTCGCGTTTGTTGACTTGAATCCCCGAAATAAGTTTTGTGCTTATTATTACACATTAGCACAATGTATTTAGGTGGATATTATCTCCTGAAAATGTCAGCTTATTGAAATAATGATGGTGACCATTACTCTTAAATCAGCACTCATCTGTTCTCTATACTTAGCGAAAATTCCGGTTTATGACCTTGTTTGATTACTTGGTAAATGGATGTTTAAAAAATGTGTATCACGCAAGTGTAGTAAACTAAAGTACCCACGAGTCTACAAGAAAAATTTAAAGTATATGTGTTTGCAGAATCTTTAACTTTTTATTTCGAATTTCTATTATTTTACTTGTTTGGTAGTGTATAATTTATACGTTATAATGTGTATGAAAAGGTTGATACTGGAGCCATGTTTCAGCCATTAGATTTAAAGTTTGGACTAATTTATGTCTACTTACATTTAGACATCGACATTTCCGACCATTCCACAATGAGTCTAGTATATAACAAACTACTGATTGTTATTTAGATTCGAGTCTATCGCTTACTATACAGTCGTAGCCATTAACATATGTATTTCTTTATGGTGTAATTTCGTATTGAATCTTAATAGGCTTTGTAAAGACTTGGCTCCTGGAGCGGTTGTTTCACCAAACACCATCGTATTACCTAACTCTCTGCTTACTCACAATCAGGAGACTAAGTTGACTCATAGTTGTTCTTCCGAGTCATCAGAATTACCTGTCTCTACAAAGCCGACTGCTATTGGACGTTTCACAGTGGCTCCAAGTAACAAAGTCAATGAACCTACTAGTCATTCTTCCTCTGGACGTTGTGCTCGGGGTAGCTTGACATCTGAATCTAACCAAGCTTCAGCACACCATAAAAATGTACACAATTTTGAATATGGGAATCGAGAACATCATTCGCTTACATCTGCACTGCCAAATACTCTGAAACGAGCAATAATGCAAGTTAGTCGAAATTTCACTGGAGGAGGAACTCCCACAACAAATAATGAAGAAAGTAGTAATCGTGGTACAGCACAAATAGTTACAGGTATTCACTCACCTCTTCATACTTCATTTGATCCTGTTTCTGAATTGTACTTAAATTTTGAGAATGTCAATTTTTAATCATCATGTTTGATCAAAATAGTTAATTCTCTGTTAAATTCAAAATTTTCACTCTAAACGCAATTGCCACTTAGTGGCTATCTGTGTATCTACACTAGCCATATTTAGCAATTCAAGTTTTTCTGTTGACGGATTATGTTTATCATGTCGAGTATTAATAGTGATCGTAAACTATGATCTTATTCATTGAATTGTTCAGAGTATTTAACACAACAATGAAGCAAGATTTTCTAAAAGTACTACTGTCTACAATTTGGTTAAAGTAATAAAATACCAGTTGATTGTTTGTTGACTAAAACCACTCAGTAGTGTTCTATTTATTCACATTAAAATAAAGTAGGTGAAGAGCATATTCGGGTGTGATCCCCTAAGAAAACCGCCTGCTTCGGTTTGGGCGTCCGGGCAGTATCTCAGCACTTATACAACTCGAATGAAGTACGGCACATATCTGTTTGGTGCCTCCTTGTACCAAGGTTTACGTGTTTAAATAAATAAAGAGTATATTGGAAGACATTGGTTAAAATATGGGTGATGGAATTATTGGGCTCCAGCTTATAAGTAAGTTACTATAATCATTATCTTTTTCAGTGAAAAGCACCATATACAAATAAACTTTTAGCAGTTGAAATCTAGGCTATATATGAAACCACTAATTCGTTTGGAGATCTTATACACGTTTTAGAAATTATTTATTTAGGTGGTGCTTCGTTGTTCGGGATGTTAGATCCCCAGAAATCACTTGGTAAATGTTTTATTTTCCTAATTTTGTTCTGGAAATTTAAATTTCTTGTTTTCGCGCCAAAAGCGCCCATTTTCACATTCATATCGTAGTTCCCACTTGGGAGAACCTTGAATGTCATTGACTCGTCTCTTTTAATATGCTATTTTGTAACGTTTCCCAAGGACATTTTAATGCTGTATATATACGTTTGAGTTGTGCCTGTTGTTGTTCGTGCTTTTGACTGCTTGTGGAATACATTTTCCCTCTTCTGAACCTGAACTTCTCTCTACAGTCTGACACGCTTCGGAATAGTTAGCTTATTTGGTCATTTTGTCTCTGAGTCCTCGTTCCGTTCGCAGACTTAAGTGATCTTGTAATCTCTTCAAACATAGCATTTGTGAAGTTTCATATCATCTTGTTTTTCCAATATTACTGCAAAAAGTATAACATTGGAGTAGTTTTAAAATCAACCAGATATTTTGTAGTCATGTTTGGACCTTCATTCACTCAACAATGGATAAAATCCTAATGTGACTCATATTATTCCATAAACTTACCCAGCTAAACCGAGTTCAGATGTTGATTTTTAATGATAATTGGGTAGTTTTGTACATTGTTCTTCAATTATAGTGTTGTTTATTGAAATTTAATTTACCTATTTCTGTTCGAGTAGTTACATTCAGCCTCGAGGATATACATCCCTTTCATATTCTCAATAAATTCAATAGAGTTTTTTTCTACCTAAAGTTTGTTTTCCTGGCGTTTCGCTTCATAATTCAAGGGATTTTTTTAATTTTTGTTGTGAATATTCCATTGATTTTAAACAATAATCTCCATAGACCTGACAGTTTGATTTTCATCTTTTTGTACTTCAGTATTTCTAATCACACAAATTTGTTATTATGGAGTACGTTTAAATTTTTTTTAATTGAACATTTTTTTCATAACAACGTACGTAAGGTTTTAGTTACACTTTACTGTTTGATTTGAATCAGCTTTATATACTGCATACTAAAGTATTTTGGTTAGTCCCAGGATTTTATTAGTTCAAATGACACCAGTTATAATCTTTCCTTTAGCAACTTCACAACTACATGTTTTATTTTCGTATATATTTATTGTAAGACTATTTCTTTTCTTACAGGACGTCATAATAAATCCGTACCAAAATCTTCTGGAGGCGGAAGGTAGGTTAATGCAAAACAAAACTAAACCGTATGTAATATTAAACGAAAATATTTGTAAATTTTTAAATCTTATTTAAGCTTTCATCATTTTAAAACAGAGATAATGTGTAGCACTAGTAGACCCTCAGCACAAGTTTAAGGTTCTAAGATAAAGCTAATTTATTACGTATAAATCCTTGCATTTAGCTTACAGTTTCATTTACTCTTTTATGACTAGCGATACTGACTGTCCAAACTGAAGGGTTCGAGCTTGGAACTGAATGGTTGAACTTTAAATCATTACGATTGATTGTTAAAATTCCTTAAAGCCTATGGTTTATCTTGGCTAGTAGTATTGTCTTGTCAATATCGTTATATAATCCTTAGTCATTGGTTCATAATTTATCAACATGAAGCTTAAAATTGATGTTTTATTGTTTGCCTTTGAGGGATGTTATCACCGCAGCACCTGTTCCAATTGGAGCTGTCAAAAAACATGGTTTTGGTTTGTCTCAACAACAACAAACACAAAAACGTCAGCCTTTAAATCCACAGAGTGCTTCTCATCCTCAGAATCCTCCTGTAAGATCTAAAAGCCCAGCTATTCGTAATCATTCTTCATCATCTAATACCTCTTCTGCGTCATCGGAAAGTCATGGAACTCAAAAAATGAATAAAGAATCCTCAGTTGCAATGAAAGCTAGTTCAGATATGAACTATCGTGGTTCTATAAACAACACTTGTCGTGATAACGATAAAAGCTCCTTACAAGGAACACAGAAACGAAATATGGTAGATGCAAACGGAGCTAAAGTTTCTGGTTTAAGTACTTCATCTAATTCTGGTGCTGAAAGCGAACTTCGAGAAAGAGCTACGACAATTGTTCAAGGAGTTTGCAAATCAGTTAATGCTTCCTCTTTGCATCATCAACATTATACTCCTCAGTCGGTCTTGGAAGCAAAACAGGAATTTAAAGAGAATGACGATCGTTCTTGTCTAGTACCGGGGAATAATAATGAACTTATTCACTTCGAACAAACTAATCTTCGCAATGAAAAGTCAGAACTCAGTCGCAGTTTAACAACTATTGATCAGACAAACCAAATGACTAACAATTCGGATAAAACTGCAAATGTTCCATCCCTTAATCCACAAATTAAAGTATTACATACAGTCCAAGGCACAGAAGCTCTCGCTTTACGTCTTGAAGCTCTGCGTTTACAGTCTGTGAACTCAACGACTAAACCATCTTCAAATCTTGAGGCAGCTGCAAACATGTGAGTATCTAGTGATCTTTTTATGCTTATCGTCGAATACACCAGCGTGCATATTTTCTGCATGTCTTTTAGATTACGTTCTCAATTTAGCGTGATTAGGATAAAAGATCTAGTGTTTTTCTAAGAATACAGTTTTTTTTGGTGTAAATGATAAATTTCTTAATCCTTCAATTTACTAAATGTGTGAACTCCTGGTATTCTTTTGATGATTTCTAATATGAATGAAGTATATTTTTGTTGTAAATTTTGGCAGGACTGTTGGGAGATTCTTCCAATATGCAACATGATTAATACTAACTGGATGATAGATCAATAATCTAGTACGCAACACTTCAACTATAAAATATTTGCAAGAAGTATGCATCGGTAACACCCCCCAAAAATTGACTTGTATAGTAAAACGATGTGCCTATCTACAAATGTTAACACAAAATAAGTATGATAAATTATTGTAAGCGATTGGACAAAGGTATTGTTTAGGTCACTCACTCTCCAGTCAATTAAGACCTGGTTATCTGATTAGCACACTTATAATTTTGGATTCCCACATTATTATTAAAGTCCGTATTTAAATTTTGGTAGTTAAGGGATTAATAGTAGGTAAATATTATCATTCTATTTTTTAATAATATTTTAGTTTACATGTGCTGAAATAAAGAATTCGTAAAGGCTTAAAGTCGATTATTTTATATTTGCTTTCCTGTGATCTGATGTATGACTTAAATCAGCTATGAAGTATCACTCATCATCAGATAACCGGAGTACATCTTATGATTTTACAACTCGGTTATATGGGTTAATTAGTTTTCAGTTTATTTTCAGTCAAATATTGTGACTGGTAAGTGGCAGATCTGTTTGTATATCATTATAATCTGGCTATAACTTCAACACTGTTCACTTGATGGTCCAGAAATATACGAGCAATGGGTCAAAGTCATCTAATAACTTACGAGTATAAGGCCACATTTCACAGCCATGGAGTAGAACAGAACGGAGTGTTACGCAGTATATGTTATGGTTCGTTATTGCTTGAATGCTATTACTGATGCATCTTACTCGAACGGAACGAAGGATCAATGATTCAGCGACTCGATAGCTATTCTGGTTCGTTGTCCCCGACTCTGCTAACTCGATCAAGAAGTCTGGGTAAGGTGTAGAAAGTGTATTCTACAGACAAACAGCAGATAACTAGTCAGGTCAAGCACACAATCAAGCGTATTTATACAAATATTTACAATCGATATTGTCATGGAAAATTTTCAAACATTAATCAATGAGTTCATTACTTGACCGCTATTTAACATTTAATCGATAGTTCATCAATTGACCTATTTGCACATCTAATCGATAGGTTCATCAACTGACTGCCATTCAAACATTTAATCGATAAGTTCATCAATTGACCCCGATATAAATATTTAAACATTTAATCGATAAGTTGATCGATAAGATAAAATTTAAAAATATGAGTTTGGGGATCTATCGTCCCTAACAGTATACTCGTTCCTTCAAGATGTCTGCCGTCTATATGCATATTGAATACAAATGACAAAGCATAGACATATTGTTACTACATAGAATTTGTCTCAATAATCGTTTCTCAATTTTTTTTCTATAGAATTGTGGATTCCAGTCATCAAGGTTCATGGGGCCGCGGTGTTCTAAAGGCATTAGGTGGATTCTTTGTACAAAGGTATGTTAGTCTTTTGTTAATTAAAACTGTATATGTTCGCTGAGTTCTTATTTTCTCGTATCTGTTGTTTTGTTAAAGAAGGAATAAATTTTTCTCTAATATAAGGCAAACATTTATTCCCTTATGTCTAGGTGATGACCTGTTTGAATATATTGACATTCATTGAATACATGGATGTATTTAATTAATACAAACTGTTACACTTACAGTACGTGACAAGTCTTCAACCAGGTATCCATTTGATATTGAGACCTTATCATAATATTAGTGCCCCTTATAGAAACATGTGTCTATACTTCATTGTTATTATGTCAATCGAATAACTGAATGCTAATTCGTGTATCAAATTTTCGTTCGTACTTTTTATGTAAAGTATACTATCCAGTTTGTTAAATCAAAGTTGATAGTTATATGTAGTTTGGCCATCTCAGGCGTTGTTCTTTACCAAAATTAGTAACATCATACTTATTTACTAAAGAACGTCATCTATTAACATGAAATAGGAATAGATTTTTTCATCAAAAGTTTTATCATATTTCATTTTTATCAGTACAGGGTTGTGAAGATTGTTGAGTTTTGATTGAGATCATGAATGGATCAATGTTAGACCACCATTGAAAATCTGGAAGCACTGGACGATCGTTTCGTCCTAGTATTGGGCTCCTCGGCAGTGCCTATCCACGATCCTGCAAGCGGGATTCGAACCAAGGATCTTCGGTCTCGCGTGTGGGGTCGTGAATGGGCACTGTTTAAGAATCCAATGCTAGGACGAAACAGCCTTCCAGTCCATCCACGTTCTCACTGGTGTTGTAATATTCCATTTTTATTTAATAATTCATTTTTATTGTACATTCAATAAACCTAAACTATACATGTTAATTTAGCTGTGTTTTCCTTCCAAGTTAGGTTTTATGTTCACTTGACATATTAGTTGACAAGAATAAAATTGGATCAGATCATATTTTTTATAAGGCTAATTTCTAAAGGACCGAATTCAGTTAAACTGAGACTAGTCATATTTAATTGATAAATTTCAATTGTAACTTAGATTTATTACTAGTATCCGAAATATAACCGTTAGACAATGGTACGTATGTTGTTCTCAGTCAGGAAATCATGTTTACAGTTATCAGTCGATTAAAAGCCTCTAATTTATGGCATAAGTCCGTGAATCTCTGAATATTGAACTGGACTCTGTTGTTAGATTCCGACTACCTGGTTGGGATCTACTCAGGTACTGTAATCAGTGGTTGGAAATGTTAGATAACATAAATTGAAATCATTCACAATGCCATATATGTTTTCACTGTTTATCTTACTCTTAATTTTAAGTCTCAATATTTCTTCACACATACCTTTTTGTTCCTTTCCAAACTATGTTCCCAACACTTGACCTTTCTCATTATGATCATTACTACATTACTTCGAATCCGCCACTATTCTTGGTAATTTCATCTCGTCTTGCTAATTTAGTGTAGCAAATCTGGCCAACGCACAAGTGTACCCAGACTCTAGGTTGGTAATTGGCTAGAAAAATTAAATTAGTCATTCAGCAATCTAATGTTTCACTGAAGATTACACATTATCAAATGGTTTAATCCAACTTCAATTCACACTTACCTTGCCTTGCCTTCTGGTTTGATATTATTTTATAAATTTTAAGTTTATCTCCATTTTACTCGTTACATAAACTATTTCTTAGCAATCTCAGCAGGTACTAGCTTTTTGTTCATCAGTTAACTTATCTCCCTTATTTTAAAAAATCCACTCAACATCAGGTTGTAAAATATAGTAGGAAGTTATGGTATTTGTCCTAAATATCTACCACCCCTTTTTAAAAGCTATTTGGCTGGCAAACAGTCTAAGTTGGTGAGTACCAGCGCTGTTTTCTGTACCGTGTTCTCTTTGATGATCAATTTATTTAGATTTCTGTGAATGCGAAGTTGATAAAACAGTTATTACTTTAAATTATTTCATTTATTCCCTCAATTAAATCATTTAACACAGCTTATCAAATCAAAGAAGTCATTTATTATTGCGAAAAAGATGGTTAGATAGGTTGTGTGGTTGATGGGCACTGGTTAAAATATTCCGTTTTTTGTCTCACAAGATTACGTTGTTGATGAGTCGTAAGACTTCTGAGTCGGCAGTCAACCTGATTAAATATGAAGCATACATAAGTATTTACCAAAAAGTAGAATATAATCGATTAGTCTTATTTAACGGGATTTATCAGTGTGATGTGTTTTCGACCTCTTCTCTACCATCTGGCAAGTACGGTTGCAAGAAAATTCTATCACTTTGGATTCGAATGGTCTGTGACACTTAATAAATGTGAAGCTCATACTTTAAACGGTGTTTATAGTTTACAATATGGCGATATCAGTGTTGTGCTAGTATGACGGCATCAATGGTACTTTTTATTAAGCACTCTGAATATACGGTAAAATTGTACTCAAAATTCCCTAATTTAATCTGTTTTTCCAAAGTTGGTCTTTCAAGCATAGTATTGCACCATTCTGCTCTGTTTGTTGAATCCTGATTTTGAGAGAACAAGGTCGGCTACAGAATTCACTTAGAATTCTGGGAATCCCATAATTCCTACTGTAGTTTGTTTATTGTTTTATGATATACAAAATGCCGATTTTATTTTCTTCACTTTATTTTCCATTTTAGTAGATCTACAGACGGACGTTCGGATAATCAGTCGTCCACCCGACTACTTAATAAACCACGTGAAGTTAAGTTCCCTTGGAGTGTATATACTACAAGCACAAAATCAGCAGAAGAACTCCTTCAGTCCATCATACATGCCCTTGAAGTCACTCCTGGTTGTCGTTATTCACATGACCCTCACCTTCCTTTTCTATTGCAGTGTTCCTGGGCAGCTGATCGACCTGCTATCAAAAAGTCTGATTCGGAAGCTGCTTGTAAAGATCAAGCTAACACATCATTTTCTGGATCCCTTGAGGTTCCAAGTCACGGTGGACTTTTACGTGGAGATCCGGTACATTGGGAAATGGAAGTATGTCAGTTACCACGGGTTCACTTGCGTGGTGTCCGACTGAAACGAATACGTGGATCAACACTACATTTTCGCCCAATCGCTGATCTTGTTATGAAGTCGTTGCGTTTGTGATACCTTATTAGAAATCGTTGCAATAAATATACAGATAGCTCATGGTAAACTATTACTTATATTTCAGTAATGTAACATGAACAAAAAAGGAAAAATAACTTCAAACTTTATAGAACCAGTTCATTGGCTTTATATATTTCATTTATTTTATGCGTCTCGTTTTTACTATACTGATATCAAACTTGGTATGCAGTTTTAATGACTGCTTCCCTACACCTGTTATTTAAAAAATGTGCAAAATGAGACTTCATTTCAGATTTAACCACAATCCCATGTACAGTTATATCTACCGGTTCACAAAATTTGAAACTCTAGTTCATCATTTGTGTTTTGTTTTGAAACATTAATTTACCAATAATTATTTTCTGCTATCCATTCAGTCTATCACATTTTCTTTTATCGATTTTTCTGCTTCTCTCTTTCTGATCTTTTAACTAGATTAACTCATTCTTTTATAATTCTGTAAAATTATAGGTTGTTTGGAATATTTATATTTGCGCATATATATCTGCTATCACTAGTTATTTTTATTTCCCATTAATACACACTCTATCACTCACAGTATAGTGCTCCTTCTCTTTACTGTATTCTTAACTATTTTCCTATGTAAATGTTTAGACGATTAACTTTCATTTCGTTCCGTATAAAGACTTTCAAATTAACGTAATAAATAATCTTTTTAACATAGATTAAAGTCTCGTACGTATGGCACTGATACGCTTAATAATATTCTGATTCATTTAATATTTTACGCGTTAATCTATAATAATTATTATAATAATTATTATTACTATTAAGGTTTCAATTTCACATGCATAAATATTTCTGTATTTATCTGCCTTGTGGTTTTTCAGTCTATTCATTATTTTTTTTTCTTTAAATCTACTGTACTACTATCAATAAATCTTTTAATCAAGATTAATATTTATTTGTGAAATTTACAGTTTGTCAGTTATTTGACTTAAATGATTTATTATCTTTCTAATTATAGTTCAATTTTCTAAATATTCTCAAGAAGCACAATATAGACCTAGTATCATTATATTAGGCTGAATAACATCAAATGTTCTTTTCATAATTTGTTTCAATAGAACTACTCAAGTTCTTAATACATATTGTTTTCTTAGATTCAATTTCCCAATCAAGCTAAGTTTCGCATGTATGAAATATATCTCATAGTAAATTTAGTTCAAAACATTAGATTAATCACATATTTTAGGTAGTCGTTTTGAGAATAATATCTATATCGCCGTAGCCTCTACATTACAATTTCTAATATACAGAGTATTGATCAATGTATTCCTTGTGTTGTATATAAAGTATCGTTGTCATTCTTGATGATATTGGTGCTAGCAAGCAATTTCATTGTCCTTACATGTAATTTCAGTAATTCGCTGTAACTCTACACTTCATCGGTTAACTGTTTTAGGGGACGTTTCGTAAGTAACCAATATCTGAATCTATACTGTCTAATGGTCCAGTAGTAATAGCAAAGCTATTAATACTGTAGAATATCGGTTTAATATTTAAGATAAACTTATTCATTTTTGTTGCTTTTTATCAAGAAGGAAATTAAGACAATTCATGGCACATTTTTTTTATCGTTATTATCATTTACTAAGGTACAACTGTATTTACAATTAATTGGCATACCTTAATTTTATCATTAAATAAATGAATATTGCATCACTAAAAAAGCAATCGAAAGTGTCTTAGGTATCACAGAGACACCACGCAGTAGATTGTAGGATAGGTATGAAACGAAAAAGTGAGGGAAGATCATTGACGAAAGGTAATTGTCTACTTGAAGAATATGAAACAAGTAAAGAGTAAAAGGTAACAATTAAAATTAAAAGGTATGTATTGTTATCATCACAATTAAGCTCATCAATCTTGAATAATAATTATTGAAAATATTGAATAGTACAATAGATTTCTCATCTTATTAAGTTAAATATTTGGAGCAAATATGTGAGATAATTTTCAATGATATTTGGCTGTCATTCATCTTTCTTCACTGACCTAAGTGTAACCAGTTTTACTCTTGTAATATTTTATGCATAAACTCTGATATAATCGTTAATTGTTTCTTTTATAGATCGGTGAAGGTAAATGTAGTCATCATGATGATGGCTACTTTTGAATTTTAAGGTATTTAGCTTCACATTATTTTATAAGCTTTTAATAAAGCATATAAATACATTCGAAGGTTATCATATACAGTTGGTTAGAGCAAAACTTAATCAGAAAAATGTATTGTAATATTTACTTATTTAGATAACAGAGGTTTGAACAAATCTAGGATTATACCTATGTTACCCACGTCATTCTAACTCTTGCTAAAATACGGACTTGATATTCGCAAGCTTTATTTGAAACTAGAAATGTTCTTTTTGACAGTTAACTCTTTAGATAGTTAAAAACGTGTTATCCAATATATCATCAATTTAAACTTCTTTGTGAGGGCATCACTGCTAGTTAGTTTGAACTTGCTTTTTTGTGAATTCGTTTGATTAGGACGTTATTATAGCATATTTTTTGAGTCAGTATTTATTTACTAGGTCAAGTATAATGTAATCCTCCGTTCCATAAATAAATCAACCAACTTTTGAGTCTAGTGGTTTTTGTGCTGTTATCATATCCTAATTAATGCTCCAAGCACATTCATAAAAGTTATGATAAATTTTATGATCGTTAGCTAGAGGGCTGTGACGACTAAAGTGAAGTATGGGAATAGACTTCGGCCGACTCTTAATTACTTTCGGACGTAGTCCGTCACTAGTATTTAGGTCGGTCAAGATTTCACTCTAGACTCATATTTGGTGTGCTGCCGTATATGGATAAGACCAAACCGGACTGGAGGTTTACAAAAGAGGACTTAGAGGAGCCAGGAGAGACTTATTTGAAAATTTAAAGTAAAAAGACATGATTTAGTATATTTCATAAAGAACTTTATGAATCTTATAAATAAAAAACTAAGAATTTCTCGCATACATATTCAGTACAGACAGTTTTTTGTATTTGATTTATATTCAAATCTGAAAATAACTAACGTGGGTGTGTGTAAGCAATTAAAGGGTTACAAGTGGACGAATCATTAATAAAGTCTTGGAATGAATAGGTAAGGTTTGATTAGCGTTTAACAGTGTTTCATTTCTTGGACAGCTTAGAAATATTTAGAATCAATGGGCTGCAAAATAACGCAGTTGAGTTAATAAATGAATAAACAAGATATCGGATAACTTGTATATTTTCCGTAGAGGTCATTTGTGGTAAAATTTGAGCGTAAGCTATTTAATGAGGTTTCAGATGTTCACCAATTGTAATCCTTGATTTAATAGTGATTAACGTAGGAACAGAATGAAGTAAGATGCAGAATCTCCTAACAGTAACAAAATATATATCCTCAAATTCTTTTGCTTTGACTTCAGACGTTCACAGTTAAGGTTCGATTTTTCAGGCTGTTTTTTTTGCTTTGAATGTCTGTTTAATTTCTATCTCACTTTGTTCACTATCAGTAGTTTATTGTTCGTGATTTACTCTGTATCTGTGTATTAAATTCTTACTTGAGGAACGACTAGAAATCGCTTCCCGTTGTTTTGGAATTTTGATATTGTCGCTATTTGGTTATGGTTAATGATAAAAATAAGCATAAACTGGCTAGGGATTAAATTGAAGACATGACGAGTAGTCAGTAAGTAACAACGTAGAACTTCGTACGTACATACGTACATCAGTTCGAGTTGCCACACCACATTAGCACCGAGATGCAGTTGTCGATTCAAATCCCGTAGTGGTAGAGGTAAGAGTAAGAGTATAAGCAGTAATCGGAAAGATTAGTGTTTGGAGATGTTATTCAAAGAGTATAATACAGTGAAATAAATTTGGGAAGAGAAAAAAAGAGACAAGGAGAAATCACGAGGTCAAAATTTGGGAGAACACAAAGAGTGTATGCACCTGCGCCATCGCAAACGATTTTGAGCCATGTCATTCAGGGTCTCTAACCATCGGTTGATATAATCTCGCGGTCCCCAACCAGGTAGTCTACACCTACCGACATGACTCAGTCCACTTGTCAGTGACTTCGTGGACTTGTGCCATGCTTTGGTCTGGTCGCCCTTAGCTTTCTTCCAACCTACTCCTATACCACTAAACATCGCACGTCGAGGCAGTCGGTTGTTGGATATACGTAACACATGTCCCAGCCATCTCAACTGATGAAGTTTCACCACGTCATCAATTGATTTACCATCCTTACCTAGTACCCGTTTCCTAACAACTGAGTTACTTAATCCGTGGTCCCAGGATATACGAGCAATATTTCGAAGACAATTATGATCAAATAGTAGTAACCTACGGATATCCTCTACTCTTACCGGCCATGTTTCACTGCCATAAAGTAGGACGGAACGAACTGCTGAGCAGTAAACATGTCCTTTGGTTGATAGACGGATATCTCGCCTACGCCATAAATGACGCAAGTTCGCAAAAGCTAGTCGAGCCTTCTGTATCCGTGCTGAGATTTCGTCACACACCAGATCACAAGGGCTGATGAGACTTCCAAGATAAGAGAAGCGATCGACACGCTCAATTACTTCACTCCCTATCATTAGTTCAGGTGTCAATGCAATCCAATCCTGAAGCAACATTTTGCATTTCGAGGGAGAGAATCGCATTCCGAACATGCTTGCATTGTTGCTTAGAGTGGTCAGAAGACTCTGCATTTTGTCAGCGTCTTTACCAAATAGAACTATACCATCAGCATATTCTAAGTCAACAAGTGAATTTCCTAGTAAAGTTCAACCCCTGTAAATTTAGATGAGGAAAGTGTTATCTCTAAAACTACGTCAATGATGAAGTTAAACAAGAATGTATAGAGTGAGCAG